TCCACCTGGCCACACATCCTAGTCCTGTTAGAACTACGTTCACTGAAATAAGAATGTATTTATACTGTTAGCTCTAAGGGAAGAATTTCCTGGTTACACACTGAAGTTCTCAAATGTTCATCAAGTAAGGAATGTGACAATCTTTCTTTTCTGTCAGTATGCACCTTATGCAGTGTGGACTTTGGAGCATAAGCAAGATTTTGCTGGGTTTTTTTTCCCTCCCAAGGGTAAAAAGTTTCTTAGCAAGAAGAATCCAAATTCCATACGTGTGGAGGGTGTTTGCACTTTCATTCATCTATTTAAGTCCACAAAAAAACACACAGCTGTTCTTCCTGCCTTGAGGGGTATGTGGCACATTTCACTGAAAGAACCTGAGTGAAATTACTTAACAAAATACAAGCACACTTTCAGAGAGTATTTGCAATTTTTAAAACTGTGAGAGCAGATGAAGTACCTAGGARCTGTCTCCATTGTTCTACATCCAAAGAACTCATTCTATGTGAGAACCAGCTGAAAAGCTTTAGCAAGACTTRTTGATCCTCCCATTACAACAGACAGATTCTTTCACTTATTGCCTTAAGAAAGTAGTGGAAATTTCAAAATGACTTGTAAGTGACTTCAGGAAGATGAGTCACACTGATTCAAGTCGATAGCTGAAAAGAAATATGAAAAGAGGCTTCAAAATTGGATACCACCATGCTTGTATGGTTAACAGATCTCTTTGAATTTCCTCGTCTACTTTTATGTAACTTAATGTAACCTAATATGGCAGGAAATCCTTTGCTATATATTTGTTGAAATTGTCTGCAACAATGAGGTGTTCTTCATATGTGGCTCTGAAGAATGCAAGTGGGAASATYACTGAAATATTTGGCAGTAGAGCAAAGTAGAAAATATGCACTCTGTTAGCAAGGAACTGTTCATACTTTTCCATTCATATATTTGTTTAAAAATATTTAATGGCACACCTCCTAAAGGGCATGCCGTGTCTGCAACTCCAACTACAGACACACACAGATACAGTCACACACGATGAGCCTTACGGGTCTCTTCCAGTCCTAGATGTTCTATCATACAAGGCATAAACTTGAAAATCAGGTAAGCTTCACCTTGGAGCAACAAGTACTTAACTTTACATGTTACTTGCAGCTGGAATGTTCCAGCAGAGACAAGGGAACTCGTGGGTCCTCACTGGCACCAGTCACTGTGGCATGGGCCTCTGTGTCACAGGTAAAGGCACAGTTGCACAACCATCCCTGTCCAAACATGGACTATGAACATCCTTAACTAGCAAGGCATTTTATAACATTTTGTGAAACAAGCCAAATGCTGTGTCCTGGAAGGAATAACTAGCAGGAGTCAAAGTCAAACTTCTTCGGAGTAGTGTTACTGAAAAAGAAAACCATAACTATGTGAGTAAGCCTAATTTCTGCTTTCGTGGGCTAAGCAGATGATGACCTGATTAGTTCTCAGTCTCAGGAAGTTGCTCATTGCTCTATGCCTTCAGCTCCTATTGTCAGCATCTTGTTCTGCATGATTTTAGCTGACATACTTTTCAGTCTTCTCTTTTGAAACATTACTTAAGGATTAAAAAGTCTTTATCTAATATAAAAAAGTTACTTTCACACTTAAACCCACTGATTTAAAATGGAAATTAAAWGTTCTAATTTATTCTTTCACATTAACAATCAGTAGAAAAATATKATCCCATTCTTGAGTGTTTGATTCCCTACAACATGAATGTATAGCCTAAAAGAAAAAGGAAGAATTGGGACAAGTCTTCCTCTACCATGGAGATGGGCAGAACTTGTCCAGCTATGTATAGGCACCTAATGCTATTATATGTGCTCTGGGGGCTGTGAAACTCTGRCACAGGTTGCCTGGAGAGGAGGTTGGATGCACCATCCCTGGAAACATTCAGGGTCAGCTTGGATGGTGCTCTGAGCAGCCTGATCTACTTGATCCTGCTCATTGCAGTGGGGCTTGAATTRGAYGGCCTSMAGAGGTCCCTTCCAGGCCAAACTATTCCATGATTCTATGATCTTTAACATCCCTTCCAACCTAAATCCTTTTACAATTCTATKATGTAAGCCTTGATACCTGTATCAAGCACTCAGGAGTATAGATGCTGCTTTTGGACATCCCAAAACATTGTTTTCCCATTATTCAGTCTTTAGCAAGAAAAAAAACCTGAATCAGAGTGGACAAGATTTTCTTTTTTTAAAATCAATGACTGAAATAGATCTTGCAGGTGTACATATATAGACAGCAAATATATCCATATGTAGATACATAAATTGTACACAGTTTCTGTAGCTAGTTGGTCGGGATTTGAGACTATCTAATATGCTCTGACATGAGATATGGCACACCTGGAATCCTATTTCTAAYACTAGTATTGTAGAATTACCTTTAACTTACTGTGGCAACAAATAGCTTTTAATGTAACCAAGAAGTAACATTCTAGAAAATGCTGCATGATACTATAGACCTTAGAAAAATGCACACAGTTTCTTTTTCCCAAAAGGCTGATGAGATGCTGCATAATATTAAAAAAAAAAAAAAAAAAGAAAAAAGAAAAGGAAAAAAAACCAGCATTGGATACTCGATCTTAGAAGGAAAGAGTAGATTTCAATACCCCTGTGGGCAGGAGTGGCTTCCCCAGTGTTTTCTTCAGATTCTCAGGAGAATCTGAAGTTTTCTGCTCTTTTTCTCCTCTGCAACTGAAGGATGCATGGAGAGAGTCTGCATAATTCCATGGTCCCACTGTTTCACTCACATGGTTTTAACTTGACAGTAAGTGGCTATTTCAGAASAGAACCTTGTTTCAGTGCACTGCTCTAATAGTGCCTGTGCTTAAAAAATGATGCTGTCTTTGTTGACTCTATTTTATTCAGCATTCCAAAGAACAACAGTAAAAAATACATAAGCCCATCTTCCACTGCACTTTCTAATATTGTAGAACACATAGAAAGTATATATTGTAGTGATTCTTCAGAGCAGTCATATTCCTAAAACACTATCTCCATCCCTCTTTTGTGAGGAAATCTGCCACCTCCATCTCACCAACCTTTCTACTGTTCTGTGAAAAGGGTCATAAATAATGAGCAGAGGYTTCTTTCAGTAATATTTTAAGCTAATTTGGGGATGGTCCTGTAAAGGGYTAAAAGTTGGAYTTCATGATCCTTGTGGGTCTCTTCTAACGTGGCATATTCCGTGATTCTGTGATTTGTAAAACTGCTACAAACCCAGAGGTTGCAATGTTTTATGTCAATAATACTTTTTCAAATCCTTGAGCAAAATTCCCTCATGTACCTCTATGATGTGACAGATTTTAAGCATGGACCGATCYGCCCAGAGCCCTGTGCAGATGCTGGAGTTCCCTCCCCTGCAACATTCATTAGCGTGCTGGTTCCTAAATGCTTTCAACAGGTGAAGGGAACTGAGAGCTTGCAGAGAAATAGTTTGCAAGTCGATGATGTTCAAACCAGAGTCTTCTGGTCTTCAGGGCTTTTGGTCCTTGTCTTGCTGTCCTCTGTCTTGACATGGGCACCGAAAGTTACACTGCAGTCCTGCAGTCAGCAGTGCCAACACAAGTAATAGATGGAGCTGGATCCTCCTTTTCCCCTTGAACTCTGCCAGCAGCCACAGCCATCATTTTTACTCAGCTCTTACAGCTGAGCAGTGAGCCTCACAGCCCCAGGTAGGGCTGAAAATTGGTGTTTACTGAAAATGTGATGTGAGACTCATGTGTCCTGGATTATTACTGTTCACAGATCTCTTAAAAAGCCAGTTA